ATAACCACTGCGCCTGAGAAGAGCATGAAGCTCCGCCACATGAACCCCAGAGGCCAATGCCAACAGAAAAAGAGCCGTAGCAAAGTAATCCTGAACTGAAGGAGCCACAACAAACCAAGGAGAAGAAAGACAGGAGAGCACCCTGTCCAAAGACCAGGACCGCAGGACCGAAACCAAAAAGCCACAAGCTCGCTATTCTACCACCACAAGTGTAGCCGACAGGGAAGGAGCCCGCACAAAGGCCCCCCACATTAGCCCCACCCCAGCCCCGGGAACCCACCTTGCAGGCCCCGGAACCGAGCTGTCCCCCCAAGCCCCAGTGTCAAGAAAAACCCCGGGGCAGCCGTGAAAAGCACTAAGGAAGGGAGCCGACTGGGCTCAGGAACTTGAACCAAAAGCGAATAATAGGCGAGGGGCGAGACGAAGATCCCAAGCTCATCCCCAGCCAGCACAATGAGGTTAGGACAGAGAATCCCAGGAACATGAAAAAACCAGGCCTGGCACAGCAAGACCAGCAAGGAAGGAGGGCCCCAGAGGGAACACGGAAGGACCGAACAAAACGCCACAACCATACCCCTACATGCAGCTGCAGTACCAAAACCGCAGCGAAACGTCACCACACTCCCCGAGGAAGTGACAGAGAAGATAAAGATAAACTAGAACACGAGTGGCACACAACAAGGGGACACAGGCGGAAACCGAGTACCCAACCGAGCCACAGGGACGGTAGAAGAAACGTGTGCAGTGTAACAGGCAAGAGATGGAACACATTAGGCAGCCATACCTGGGCTGACCCCATACACAGCCCCAAGAGCAGAGACGAGAGTGCCCAGGAAGCAAAGAATCTGCACGTCAGGCGAACGACAGGTGAGAGGCGGAACGAAAGAGCCAGAACCCAACCCCTCAAGCACAAGGAGGCGAGCACATAACACCCTCGACACAGGAAAATGTACCACTGAACAGGCACCTCCACCGTTGCACCATGGAACAAGGTGGAGGCGGGGCCTCGAACTCAAGCATGGTTAGACAAGCATAGGAGAGGGGGGCAGGATGAGTACAGGCAGGAGCCGCCTCGTAAGAGCCAAGAGGCCACCTGCAGTCACCCGTGAACCGAGGAAGGAATCGGGTGGTGTGAACAAGAGCTGCCACATATGGGCCAATAGCCCTGGAGCAGGCACTTCGGTTGTTACGTTCCACGTTCTCAAGTACGTATGTACACCCATTCCTACTTCCAAAAACAAAAACAGTGTCAGGACGAAGGAGATGTCAGACCGCACCAACCCACCTGCAGAACATAGGCGCTGAAGGGCCATGACGAAAGCCTATGAGAATGTAGCCGCCGGAGGCGGTAAGGGTGCCCATGCAGGAGAGGAGGAGGGGAGCGGCGAAGGAGGCTCCCCCCTAAAACACAAGGAAAAAACCTCGTGACTTCCCCACAGCGGCACTCCAGAACACCCCCAAGAGAACGGGGCACGGACTGGAGAAAGATAAGAGAGAGAGGCGAGCGCCCCCCCCCCCCCCCCCCCCCCGAGATAAAATGGACGCAGAACACCGACACGTGTGCACACCGCCCGGAACCAAAACAAACTCCCATGGCGCATGTGCAGGACATGAAGTAGCCCAACAAGGCGACAAATAGCCCAACAAAGCGACAAGCAGTCCAACCGGCGACAAGTAGCCCATTTGGCTATAAGGAGCCCAACCGGCTACAAGTAGCCCAATCCGGCATCCCGGACCAGAACGGAAGGAACCATCGCGGAGGCAAATTCCGGGTCATGCAGGAGGTAAGCTGCAAAGGCCAACAACACCGCAGGCGAAGAGATGCGGGTAGCCGAAAACCTCCGGAAGACGGAACCGAAGAAACCACAGTGACATGGAACCGAACCAGGGGAGGAGCAGAACCCAAGTCCAAATCGTATGCAGAGGGGGGGAAAAGAAAACCCCCACTCCTTGCAATAGTAAGCCCCGCTCAGAAGGACGGAAATCCAGGCGGAGCCCAAGGCCCCCAAGGCCGCTCCTCCCTAACCCCAGGAGTCTCTACACCAGGCCCCGGGGCCGAGTCGACCTCCAAAGCCCCGACCTCACAAGAAAAAGCCGGGGCAGCCGAGAGAGCTGGAAGAGAAGGGGCCCACTGGTCAGACCCCGGAGCATCGGCCGGAGGAACGGACTCGAATGCCTCCGCTGCTACCCCGGACGGGGCAACCCCCGAAACTGCCCAAGTCTCAGAAACCTCTAACCCCGCCCCGACCCTGAAGCCTGCAGACGCTTAGGGGCCGGAAACAGGAGGGGGAGGGGGAACAAAATGAACCACCGAAGGAGAAAAACAAGGGGGCGTGGACGGAACCAAGGCCGAAGCGACCAAAACCCCCAAGTCCGGGTCCCTACACAAAGCGGCGCAGCCTTGGGGCGTCCGGGGAAGCAACAACCCAAGCACGTTGCAACAACCTACCCTGCAACGCGCGAGCTGCCTGCACCCAAGGGAATTCATCAGCAGACTGGGTGAATTGAGTCATGAACAAGCAACAAAGCTCGCAGGACTCGGGGTCGAATGTTCCACCGACCCAACAGGCAGCATGATGGAGGCAAAAACAAGGAGAGTCACCCTGAGACAAAGGGACAGAGCAACCCTCAACTCGCACAAAGCGAGAGGGAACGCAAGGGTCTCCACTATCAGACCCGAGAGCCCCCGTGGGGTTTCCCACGTCCCCTAGACTGGGTCTGCTAAGGGTTATCCCAGGCAGGGCACTGCTAACCGGCGCCACAAACTACCAAGCAAACTGCTAAAGCTGAACCCACAGGACGTGTCCACCCGTGAGGGCAAAGCAGGGGGTGCCACCACACAAACGACCCTAATATAAGGGGGGGGAGGGACACAAGGCAGACCCCCCCCCTACCAGGCAAAAACAAATATAAAAAAAAAAAACACAAGTGGACAACGTACCCAGAGGAACAGAGCCGGCCGCTGTTATAGGTAAAAACTATAAGGTGTGAGGTGAAAACTAGCTACGCAGTATCCTGCTCCCCACCAGTGCTATAACTACCACTTACCCCAGGTAAACAAGGAAGGAAAACCCCCAAACACTCGGGACGGCCAAATGCCAAGCAGCGAAAAGCCAACAGAGGTAGACCCAAGGTGACTTGTGGAATGCAACCCCAAGCCCCAAGGGCGGTACTTACAGGGCACTCAGGGGAAGGTGACCCTAAGCATATGCAGCCCGAGAACCTGAAGAGCAGCACTGAAAACAAGTCACAGCACTGAGACAAGACCGGAGCTGGAGCCACACGACCATGCACTATCCCATCAGCCGAGGAACCGAGGCGGGGATTGCCGGCGCGGGGGTCTGGGGCTCCCCCTTTCCCCTCCTGGGGATGGGGGAGCTGCGCAGACATGCGGCGTGGCTTGTGTGACGTCATGCTTGTAAGTTTGTTTTTCTTGGGGAGTTCTGTCCACTCGTTTGTCGATTTTCGTTGTTAACCAGAATAGGGGTTTGTTTTGTTGTGCTTACCTTTCTGGGTGCCTGTCCTGGTCGATGGCAGATATAGAATGCTCTAAATCACATGTGCAATTCTATGGGCCATTGCTCCCCGTGCCTCTGTGAGGGGGCCAGGTTCTGGCTCGTGGTCCCCGGTAGGCCTAGAACTCCACCCACATCAACTGATGCAAAATAGTTAGGGTATCTATATCAGCCATGGAAAGCTCTGGGGAGCCGTAGGGGCTCCCCCAGAAAAAAAAATGGCGTCTGTTTACAAGAGCCCTGATGAAGGCGAGGTGAACCCTTTGTATCCGCGGGCCGTTTATATCTTGTGTAGTACTCCAACACGTCATATGACATGATGATGGGCAATTTATAGCAAGTTACTCAACACATCATATTGCGTGTTGTGCAGTTTAAGGGTTAAATAATATTGTAAATAATGAATTAAAAAAGTCCACTCATGGATGTCAACTAAAACTCACACTAAACATAGAAAGGAACTACATCTCATTTGGAAGCACATCAACAAATGCAAATGATGGAAAGTTCCTCGGCCTATACCTAGACAAGAGACTCAACTTCAGCACCCACATTCAACACAAAAAAGGTTTCTAAAACAGTTGGCATACTCCCTAAGATCAGATATTATGTACCCTACTCTGCTCTCCTCTCTCTCTTGGTTATCTTGTTATCTTGAGATGATTTCGGGGCTTCAGTGTCCCCGCGGCCTGGTCCTCAACCAGGCCTCAACCCCCAGGAAGCAGCCCGTGACAGCTGACTTACACCCAGGTACCTATTTTACTGCTAGGTAACAGGGGCATAGGGTGAAAGAAACTCTGCCCATTGTTTCTCGCTGGCGCCCGGGATCGAACCCGGGACCACAGGATCACAAGTCCAGTGTGCTGTCCGCTCGGTCGACCGGCTCCTAGAGTGGGAGTAAAGGAGTCCTAGGATTGAGTGAAGGAATAGTGCCCAAATTCTTATATCATTTGGGATTAAAGATCAATACTGTAAGATCATCACTTTACAATCAAAGTGGATGGATAAATCCAAAGACATGTAAAACAAAATAGATGCCAGAGCTATGAGGAAAGGCTGAAGACTTTTGAATATAACGAAAAAATATCATGGACCTCACACAAGTCTGCCAAAGAATATGAAAAGAGAGAAGCTTTTGAAACATGACATTTGCAAACTATTGTATAAATGGCAAAGATAAGATAATGTGAGTGACTGATTGACTGATTTTCACCAGAGTGACTGATTTTTGGACTAAACTTCAGGAGATGGTAGTGTGTATTAAAACCATTGAGATAAAAATATATTATAAAATATATAAATTATAGAAAGACAGTACACCACAACAACTGGCATTTTATAACTATAAATTACACCAGAACCCAGATTACACCAGAAATTAAATTACACCATAGTATGTACAATACAAAAAATACATGCTTGATACAACTTATGCTCAATAGTTAAAGAAAGATACAGAGCATATAAGTCAACAGTTGCACGTACCAATAAGAAGCCATCCAGCGACAAAGGGTACCGTGGAAGCCAGCATTGTGCCTCATCTACTTAAAACACCAAGACATAGGCCACCAACAGGACCCCCCCATCAGAGCTCCCTAGTTCATTGACGATGAGAACCACATATTTTGTTCCGTGGTCAGATGCAGCGGTCCAGTGGTTGTATTAGACATGAATTTAGGACCAGCTGGAGACGAGTAGCCCAACACAGTCCCAGCAGCCAGGGCACCCATGATAGCTAATGACAATGTTAGTGCAGTATTAGATGGACAAGCTGAGAAAGCAATCAATTCATGCATACAATTCCAATGATGTAAAATTTACTCAATTCATTAATTACTATAATCCATTTAATTTTGCAATCCAATAAGGCATAAAGACACCCATTTCTTTTATTCTTTCTTATTCATGCTCACTACATCTCCATCTTTTAGGGCTCTTTTCCACTTGGAAAAAAAAACAAGGCAAATGGGGGGGGGGACCTTCGACAAGCTGCCGACTTCCTGTCCTCGTCGAGGCCACTAGGGTTAGTGGCCCTCAGGTAAATCAGGTAAATCTTTTTATATAATTCAATGATGCACTCGTCAGCATATCCTGCTTATAATCTTTTCATTGGAAGCAATTTAAGAATATTCAACTATCTCACAACCAATGCATAATCACTGCCTACTGACTTGTAATGTTCCATTAATTTTATTTCATAGGAAGTGAGGCGCCAGATGATTAGATTAAGACCACAAACTGCTACCACATAACCTTGTACCCTACTACATACTAGAAGGTGAAGGGACGACGACGCCTCGGTCCGTCCTGGGCCATTCTCAAGTCGATTGTGAGAATGATTTGAGAATGGTCCAGAATGGACCGAAACGTCATCATCCCCACCTTCCAGTGTGTGGTCTGGTCAACATACTTAAGCCACATTATTGTGACTCATCGCCTGCCAACTGCATGCATTCTGTGCACTCTTCACACTTAATCCATGCTTACTTACACACTTAGTATGTCAACCTAACCACTTAAGAACATGAGAACATTGGAGGCCTATTGAGTAATGCAGAGCAGATCCTATAAGAACATAAAAATGAAGGTAACTGCAGAAGGCCTATTGGCCCATATGAGACAGCTCTTACTTATATCCACCCAATCTCTATATCCATATCTAGCAGGGATTAAAGTATTTGATTAGGGTCCCAATCAACCATGTCAGTGCATTATCTTTTAAGCTTTTCATTTACCACAATTTGTACACCACATCTTTCCAGGATATTAATCATTTACTTTATTCCCCAAACACCACAGATCTCAGATTGTCTATTTCTACTGCTCTAATTCTTGATTTTTCTCATTTCTGTCACAGTAGCATCTTGCATCCATTTGTACAGGTAGGAACTACTGCATTACTTCTTTATGCAGTCCACTAGTTGCATCTCTTTCTAAATGATCCTTTCTATCCGGCCACCAAATGTACAAATTATTAAATTTACCAAGGTCCTAATGCTTTCTGATGATTCTCATCCTAATAGAGTTGCTCTTTCTCATTTCTGCTAGAGGATGTGAAGATGCTGTAATTGTTAAGTAAGGAGAAAAGTAACATACTTTCTTTTCATGCAAATGTAAGGAGAATACTTGTTATTTTAATAATTGAGAAGTTAAGATTAAACAATGATTTTGTGGAATATAAAAATCACGTTCAGTACATTCATTTCCATCAAATCTCACCAGAAACTTCTCTTGCTGCTACCCATATCTCGAAGCTCTAATCATGCTCCAATCACCGAGTACAGTAACTAATAAAATAATACATCATGTTTGTATGACCAACCTGCAAAGGCAGTGAGATACTGAGTAGCATGTCCCTTTGAATGCCTTGCTACAAGTGGTATTGTTGGCCTCGTGTCATCCATTCCGCTTGCCAAATTTCTCTGTGGTGGTGAAGAAAATTATGCACTTATCAATCTTAATTATGGTATCTGTGCATGGGGTTCAACCTCTGCAAACTACCTCAAGCCCATCATCACCCAGCAGAAATCTGCTATCAGGACAATAACAAACTGCTTTCAGACAACACACAGTTCCCCTGTTTAAATCCCTAAACATGCTAAACATAAATTCACTCCATACATTCTCGTGTCAATTACATTTATAAAACCCTTTTTCTAAGTGCAAACCCTGTACTGAAACTCTTCCTTGACAGATATAATAGAACACATAATCACCACACCAGACACAAATCTTTTTGATATCGCCCAGTCAAACTGAATCTGTGTAAACACACTGCAAATAAAGGTACCTAGTCTAAGGAACTCACTCCCTAATGAATTGAAAAGCTGTCCAACTTTTGCTTTATTCAAAAATAAAACCAAAAAGTACCTAATTTCAGCTTCATAGTCTTCTACCTAGAGCTTTATCTTCGCACCGTTTCTAGTGCTACCCATTCCTCCAATATTTGTACCTAAGACATATTACTTTACCATTGTAATCTTAGATCACCTGATAACATGTTGTATTTAGTGCATATTCTACTGCATTATTCCTTGTAATGATCCTCATATTGTGCTTCAGTGAACCTATGTATAACCCTGAGATGTTTTCCTAATATGCCTAGTAATACTTGTTCATTATTGTGTATTGTTATTATTGTGTATTATTCTAATCTGCTTTTGTGTCAACAATTTTTGCAAAGTACCTGTAAACTTCTTTTTTTTTTCAATTTACTATAATTTTTCTACTTAAAATCATCTGTACTTGTAAAGTAAAGCTGTAAAGTACCTGTAACCATTTTTTGTCAATTTTACTGTTAATTATCTAAAAATTATCTGTTAGTTTAAGGACTTGCCCGAAACGCTATGCGTGCTAAGTGGTTTTACAAGAATGGAAATTCAACTTAAATTCTATATTCTCTGTTAACCCCCAATGTACCTTCTTGTATATATATAAATAAATAAATTTATAAATTAATCTCCGTGGTGTAGTGGTAAGACACTCACCTGGCGTTCCGCACGCGCTTTGTCATGGGTTCGTATCCTGGCCGGGAAGGATTTACTGGGCGCAAATCCTTAACTGTAGCCTCTGTTTAACTCAACAGTAAAATGGGTACTTGGTTGTAACAACGATTCTTCGTGGGGATCATATTCCAGGGACCTGCCCAAAACGCTGCGCGTACTAGTGGCTGTACAGGAATGTTACATCACTTGTATATAAAAAAAAAATGAATTAATTCAGCTTTAGACAATGTTAACATCAGCAATAAAACTGATGCAAAGTTCCTTGGCATATACTTAGACAAGAGACTCAATTTTAGCACTCACATGAAATACAATACTAAGAAAGTCTCAAAAACAGTTGGATACTCTCTAAAATCAAATATTATGTTCCAAACTCTGCTCTCCTCTCATAATACTATGCAAAAAACCTATCCCTATCTTACATATGGTATCTGTGCATGGGGTTCAACCACTGCAAACTACCTCAAGCCCATCACCACCCAGCAAAAATCTGCTATAAGAACAATATCAAACTCTGCTTTCAGACGACAACACTAGGTCCCCCTGTTTGAATCCCTAAACATGCTAAACAAACTCACTCCACACATTCTCTTGTGCCATTTACAAAACCCTGTTCTTAAATGCAAACCCTGTTCTAAAACTCTTTCTGGGCATAATAAGGTATAGTACACCATGTGGGGTAATAGACCCCATAATCACCATACTGTACCAGAAATATATATCTGATATCCCCAGTCAAACTTAATCTGTGTAAACACTATGCAAATAAAGGGGCTTTTTCTATGGAATTCACTCACTAATGAATTGAAAAGCTGTTTAACTTTTGCCTTATTCAAAAATAAAACCAAAAAGTACCTAATTTCATCTTTAAAGTTTCCTATTTAGTGCTTTATACTCACTGTATCTAGTGCAACCCAATCCCCCAATATTGTACCTAAGCCATACAATCTTTACCTTTGTCATCACTGCTATCACCTATATCATGTTTGTTATATTGAGTACATATTTTATTGCATTATTCCTTGAAATGATCCACAAATTGTGCTTCAATGAACCAGTTGATAATCCTATTTTGCCCTAATATACCTACTAATCTTTGTTATTATTGTGTATTAATCTAATTATTGTGTATTGTGTTAAATTTTCTTACAATACATGTGTAAACATTTTTTGTCAATTTTGCTGGAAATTATCTACTTAAAACTATCTGTTAAATTAAGGACCTGCTCTTAACGCTATGCGTACTAGTGGCTTTACAAGAATGTAAAAATCTTCATTGCTATGTACTCTCTTAACCCCCAATGTACCTTCTTGTATATATAAAAATGAATAAATATTAAAACCTACTTAACTGGTGTTATTTTTAATAGTTTAAAACCACTGTCCTGGTGGTTTTGAGCTAGATATCCAGCTCTTCATCTCAAGTGTTCACAATGTCACTCAACTGATGTACTAAATAGCCCAAACCTAACCTAACCAACGACCATGAATAAAAAACTGGACATTACATCAATTTTGCAGGCCACTATGATTTTTAGTTAACAGTTTTGGTGTTGGAGGATTTAAGCATCAAAATGTGACTTACAGTAATATTTGAGAGAACAGGTTCAGATATCACCTAGCAAGTCTGCATCAAACCCCTGCATATCAACACAAGTGAAAAAATCAGACAGTTGGTACCAGCAAATGTACGTTTCAACAATGTCGACTAGAAGTTATAAGGAATAAACTGCAGGCATAATTCTGTAGCACTGACATGCTTGTATGTATTTAATAAAAACTTGAACAAAGTGGCTAATACAAGTTATGGCACAATTTTAGTCTTACAGGACAGACTAGGATAAGAATCTTAAGTAATGAAACTACATTTAAGTGCATGAAGTATTGTATTTAGTACAAATGTATTTAGTACATTTACAAGACTAAATTTATCAAAAGGTTGAATCGTCAATATTCAAACAATGGGGCCAATGTATTTCATCGCATACAGGTTACATATTACCCTATGCTGCTGGAAACCAATTGTTAAAAGCAAATATATTGCTTGCATTTTAAAGTGGTAACCATACACTGACCTACTAAAATTAAACTGTAAAACTAAACTCTTTTAATTAGATTTAGAAATCCCTAGGTGTTAATGGTGACAGGACCTGTACAATTAAAACATTAAGATAGATGACAATACCTGGCCCTCCCAAGCACAAATTTAAGACCAACAATGGTATGACTTTTGCAACACTTACATCATTCAACTTTCCATCACCAGGAACACAGCCTCATTACCACAGCATTAGCATTGCATTGTGATCCATTACATCCACACACAATGTACATGAAGGAAGGTGCATGAGCCAGGAGCACTTTTGACTAATGTACACAAAACTAAGAACGACCCCTGAAAATCTCTCAAAGTATCTTTTCTAAAACATCTTTCTGAAAAGAAACATTGTGTGTATCGAGCCCATGTTAGATTCCCAGACACCTGGCTAGCTGCCCCGACCCTACAGGTGTGTGCACACATTAACATTCCACTACAGAAGTGCACATATAAGAATCTTCCTCATTCTGTGTGCATTGCACCAAACAGCTCGCATAATGCATTTAAGAATTACTTGCTAGTAATTCTACTTAGGGAGAACATAGCCACAGCAGATTAAGCAAAATCATGAGAACGAATAATTAGTCTACATAGATGTGTACCCCCAAGGGGGCATTTCGTACCCAAGCCTGCTTACAAATGTTTAAGCATTTGTAAGCAGGCTACAAACATACAGTTATATACTGTATATAGAACTTTCTGTACTGCCTCAAAGGCCTAAACCTATTATTCAAATAACACCCAGAAGTTATATAGCACTATTTAGTGGCAAAGACATTTATGGCACTAAATAGTGGTCTTAACATGGTCATTAAAAGACCTTCAGTGTTTGACAGTGTTAAACAGCACATTAGAGATGACTAGAGCAAGGCAGGCCAGTCACCATCACTAATACAGTACTGTATTTAATATTTCAGTTAACCATGCATTTGTCCCCCACAATAGCTCAACCTCCACAACTAGCCCCACCACACTGCCTCCCGGGTCCGTCTAATTACTGCAAGCTACCGCAAGTTATACAAGCTTCACAAAGCTTCCTGACAATACGTTAGTAATGAATAAATATGACATGTTAGGTTAGGCTGACCTAACCTAACCAAAACTAACCTAACCTAAGCTAACTGACGCTTGGATCGTCTACTTGATTTGGCATCACCAGTTCATTATTTTCGTCTAATTTCTTTATAAAAAGATACTTTTTCTGATTAAAATTATGTTTTTTCGTGTTGTACATTCAGCACCAACATTATAATGAGTAAATATATCATATTTATTCATTACTAACGTATTGCCAGGAAGCTTTGTGAAGCTTGTGGTAGCTTGCGGTAATTAGACGGACCGCTGCCCCCAACAACTAGCCCCACATAACGCTGCCCCCTACAACTAGCCCCAGATGATAGTTGGGGCAGAAATAAGCTGGAGACGCCAGAGGATGCGGCGTCCATAAGCCCTTTAATTACCTGCTTCTCTCAACTAGCCCCGGCACGAACTAGTCTCAGCCACCAACGAGCAACACCACACTCGCCCCCAGTAGTCGGTGTACACCGCCCCCAAATCCAGTGGGAAGCGGTGCATAGGTTATAATCACTTAGTTACTACCTACAGTTAGCAAACTGGGGATATTTGGCTAAAATTTCTGGTAGCAGATAATTTTTAATGACATATTTACACATCGTTGGAACATTGGTTATAGAATTGTCTCTGAATTCACGTATCTTTTCGCACTCCACCATATAGTGACGGTGGGTGTGCGAATAATTTTGTTGACAGTTTACATTTGGTCAGGTCTACATCGGCAGATAATGAGAATTCCCAGAGATACTTGTAACTGAGTCTAAGCCGAGCAGAAACAACATCTAGAAGACTGCAAAATAAATAAAATACAACATTACATTTGTATCAGCAAAGATCAGTGACAAAGAAAATGGGCGGAGGAAGGCGGCGAGGAAGCGAGCGAGTGACATCTTCACAACAAACGGGAGCTGCTGTACAGGGTGTAAACTACCTTTATTTATTTATTTATTTATTTATTTATTTATTTATTTATATATACAAGAAGGTACATTGGGTTTGTGAGAATACATTGGATAGTACAGTATTTACATTCTTGTAAAGCCACTAGTACGCACAGTGTTTCGGGCAGGTCCTTAATCTAGCAGATAATTTTAAGTAGGTAATTTCAATCAGAATTGATAAATGATAGATACATTACAAGAGAAAAATGAGATGAGAGAGATAAGTAGGTATATTAAAGCACATTGTTATAATAAAGCTCTGATTAATTACATTGACAGCTTGATTAGTAATTTAAACAAGGTTAATAGACACCAAACAGCAGATTGACAGCACATATATAAGACAGCAATGATCACAATGGTAAAGATGTTCAGATTGGGTACATAAAGATTGGGAGACTGGGTAGCAAAAGATACAGATAAACAAGATTTATAAACACCATACAACAGATTGGCAGCACATATAAGAAAACAGCAATGATCACAATGGTAAAGATGTTTAAATTGGGAACATTAAGGTTGGGAGATTGGGTAGCAATTGATACAGTGCAATTTTAAGGCAAAAAGTGAAAAACTATGAAGATGAAATTAGGTACTTTTTAGTACTGATTTTGAATGATGTAAAAGTTGGACAGCTTTTCAATTCAGTAGGGAGTGAGTTCCATAAACTGGGTCCCTTTATTTGCATAGAGTGTTTACACAGATTAAGTTTAACTCTGGGTATATCGAAGAGATATTTATTTCTGGTGTGGTGATAATGGGTCCTATTACATCTGTCCAGGAAGAGTTTCAGACAAGGATTTGCATTTAAGAACAGGGTTTTGTAAATGTAGTTGACACAGGAGAATTTGTGGAGTGAGATTATGTTTAGCATATTTAGGGAGTTAAACAAGGGGGCTGTGTGTTGTCTGAAAGCAGAATTTGATATTATTCTGATAGCAGATTTTTGCTGGATGATGATGGACTTGAGGTGGTTTGCAGTGGTTGAACCCCATGCACAGATACCATAGTTAAGATAGGGATAGATTAGTGCATAATATAGAGAGATGAGAGCAGAGTTAGGAACATAATATCTGATTTTGGAGAGTATACCAACTGTTTTAGAAACTTTCTTAGTTATGTGTTGTATGTGGGTACTGAAGTTAAGTCTCTTATCTAGGAATATGCCAAGAAACTTTCCATCATTCTTATTGCTAATGTTTGCATTGTCAATCTGAAGCTGAATTGCATTTGTAGATTTGCTTCCAAATAGGATGTAGTAGGTCTTTTCTATGTTAAGTGTTAGTTTGTTGGTTGACATCCATAAGTGGACTTTTTTTAGTTCATTATTAACAACACCATTTAGTGTATGTGGGTTGGGGTTGGAGTAGATGAGGGTAGTATCATCAGCAAACAAAATAGGTTTCAGAATGTTAGAGACATTAGGCAGATCATTAATGTATATAAGAAAAAGAAGAGGTCCCAAGATGCTGCCCTGTGGCACTCCAACAGTTATTGGTAGAATGGGAGAGATTATATAGTTGATGGCTACACATTGGTGTCTATCACTAAGATAGGATTGGATATAGTCCAGAGCATGGCCTCGGATCCCATAATGATGGAGTTTACTTAAGAGGTAATCGTGATTAACAGTATCAAAGGCCTTTCTCAGGTCAATGAAGAGTCCAATTGGAAACTCATTTTTGTCAAGAGCTGAGTAAATTATATCAAGGAGACTAATAATTGCATCGTTGGTACTCTTTTGAGAGCGGAATCCAAACTGACAGGGGCTAAGAATGTCGAATTTTACGAGATAGGAGTAGAGCTGTTTGTAGATAATTTTTTCAAATATTTTTGATAGTATGGGTAGGTTCGATATTGGTCTATAGTTGTTTATGTCTGACGGATTACCTCCTTTATGAACTGGCGTTACTCTTGCTTTTTTAAGGATATCAGGGAAGGTATGACACTCAAGGGATTTGTTGAACAGCAGAGCTATAGGTGGCGCAAGGGCATGGGAGGCGCTCTTGTATACAATGGATGGGATTTCACTGATGTTCCCAGCTTTGGTTTTTAGTGAGTGTATGATGGACACAACATCTGACGGGCTGACTGGTGAGAGGAGAAGAGAGTTTGGATAGCTGCCTGAGAGATATGTGTTGATATGATATCTGTCATTCTGTACCACTGCGCACCGTACACACCCATACAGATAAAAAATTAACCCAACAGTTAACCCACATATCCCCCGCTTCCCAACAAATCACTCGCAACCTTTCTTCACACGGGGTACAAATAACCTCAATATAGACCTCTCTCTACTCCAAAACTCGGAAACCCAACTTATTGTTCCCCCTATTCCACCTTGGCTTTATACAACTCCTAATACAGCAATGCAACTCAAAGACAACATTCCAAAGTCTGCACCAAACTCAGCCATAGCCTCAGTCTTTCTCTCAACAATGAAAAATTGCTACCCAAATACCACAGCGATTTATACAGATGGATCTCGCATCATCATGAACAACGTACCCTCGGTCACTAGCGCTGTATGGATACCGGAATACCATCTCAAGCAGGGATGGCGATTACCAAACCAACTATCTGTTTTCACAGCTGAATTATATGCCTTATATCAAGCTCTCCAAATAATCACAATATTACCAATCGGGACATATATAATCTGCAGTGACTCCAAGAGTGCGATTCAAGCCATTACATACTCTTCAACAACGTGCAAGGAGTTTGTTTACCCATGTCTTCAACTTCTTCATGAACATCGATTAAACGGTTATGATACCTCTATCCAATGGGTCCCAGCGCATTGTGGTATTCTCCATAATGAACTAATAGATCAACTAGCCAAAGCAATGCACAACACACCTCACAGTACCCGTCATCCAATTCCCCATGTTGCACGTAAAGGAGCCTTAAAAAATGCCATCACCCAAGATTTTGCGACGAAATGGAAAACGTCATGCTCACCCTTATACTATGGGTCCATAAAAAAGAAATAGGAAACTTGGAAACATGTCAGATATAAAAGCAGAGAAACTGATGCATTTCAGCCTCAGATTCTGCTATTGAGTTCAATAGGTTCTTCTCTTCCATTGGGTCATCCCTTGCAAATGATATTCCATCTTCCAGTACTGACGTTAAGGACTATCTCACAGGTAACTATCCACAGTCTCTGTACCTAAAGCCTATTAATTCCACTGACGTCAATGAGATAATCCTTTCCCTTAAAACCAAGTCTAGTGCCCTTGAGGAGATACCAATGTAACGGTTCTATTGTTACGTAAAGTATGGTGACAATAAACACAGACACTAAGATACTATATATATATTTGGTCGAATATACAGAAGTACACAGGTGATACTTTGGTGTGAGTTGAGCGCACTGAGCGTCGGTACAGTATCTCGCAAGTGTCTGCTCTAGACCACACTTGAAAGTAGACTAGTTAATGTTTGATAAAGATTGATTGATAAAGATTAAGCCACCCAAGAGGTGGCACGGGCATGAATAGCCCGTAAGTGGTACAATTTTTTTTTTCTCAGTATAAAGTTAATGTTTGCTATTCTGCTGCTTATATGCTCGGGCAACACCTCACCGTGTTGCCCGGGCAACGCCTCACCTCATTCATCTCCAAAGGTTGACAGGAATATTAACAATGCATTTGGAGCGAGTATATTATTGGGATAATCTACTCGCTACACCAACTTTAATTTACAAAAAAGCCTCCAGATCTTTAGCCCCTGCTATTGCATTGCTCTTCAACAAGTCACTTGAACTCCTAACCTTTCCAGATATTCTAAAAAAAGCGAGAGTAACGCCTGTCCATAAATGTGGTGATCCCCCAGATGTTAACAACTACAGACCTATATCAATCCTCCCAAACTTGTCAAAAATTTTTGAAAAACTAATCTATAAGCAGCTTTACTCTTATCTAGCCAAACACAATATACTTAGCCCTTGCCAATATGGCTTCAGACCCAAAAAAAGCACTAACGATGCACTTATTAGTATGCTTAACTCGATTCATACAGCTCTTGATAAAAATGAGTTCCCTGTTGGGTTATTTGTGGACCTGCGTAAAGCTTTTGACACTGTCAACCACCAAAACCTTCTTCTTAAACTACATCATTATGGAGTCAGAGGACACTCCCTGCAATACCTCAAATCCTACCTTACTGACAGGCTCCAGTATGTTTCTGTGAATAATACAATTTCTCCCACCCTACCCATCAACATTGGTGTTCCTCAGGGCAGCATACTTGGCCCTCTCCTCTTTCTCATCTACATTAATGACCTTCCAAATGCCTCCCAACACCTCAAACCAATTCTATTTGCTGACGACACAACCTTCATTTACTCCAGTCCTGACCCCCTTGCTCTAAATGCCACAGTAAATACTGAGCTAAATAAAGTCCATCTTTGGCTAACTGCCAACAAACTCACCCTTAACATTGACAAAACTTTCTATATTCTGTTTGGCAATAAATCCTCTAATCAAATAAATCTCAAAATAAACAATACCCAAATTTGTAACAAATTAGATGCCAA